GACCTGCTCGGGAACCTTTTAACAGAAAATAACCTGATATCCGCTCCCAGAAAAATTTTCAATGTAGATGAAACTGGGGTTCAGCTAAATAACAACCCAGGAAAGGTAATTGCTACCAGAGGTTCCAAAATGGTAAATTGTGTAACAAGTGCAGAGAAAGGTGAGACTGTGTCAGTTATAGCCTGCGTGAATGCAGAAGGTCATTTCCTTCCACCCTACTGCATTATGAAGGGAAAAAACAAGAAAAAAGAATTTGAAGACGGATTGCCACCAGGTGGTACAGTTGTAATGAGTGAAAAATCGGCGTATGTAACTACGGATATTTTCAAAGCATGGCTTCTTCATCACTTTATTCCACGTAAAGAACAAGGCAAAGTACTCCTCGTCCTTGACGGTCATTCCTCTCATTGCTCTGATGTGGAAATACTAGACCTGGCAACAGCCAATGACATAATTCTGTTGTGCCTACCTAGCCACACTACTCATTGGCTGCAGCCATTAGATAGATCATTCTTCAAGCCTCTTAAGGTTTATTGGAATGAAGCATGTAAGAAATGGGTACAAAACAATCCCGGTCGCAAACTCTCCAGATTGCAGTTTCCGTCACTCCTCAATACTGCATGGTGTAAAGCTGCCTCAGTTCAAAATGCAGTATCAGGATTTAGGACATGTGGTATTTTTCCTTTTGATAAATCCAAAATCCCAGAATATGCTTTTATCTGCAAAAATACTGCAAATGCTGCTCTTAGAAATGAGAATTCACCGGATGAAAATATTGGGGAAGCCAATGCTCATGTCATTATTGATGCCAACAACCAAAACAACGGGCGTTCTCCAAAGACAGCTGATCCAGATCAAAATCCATTTGAAGCTATTTCAGCGGTTCCGTGCATACCAGGAACGAGTGGGTGCCAGAAGCGAAAACAGCATGCAGAGGTACTAACATCACCAGAGGTAGTAGCAGCAAAACGAGAGAAAAAAGAGGCCAAAGAAAAAAAAAGATCTGCGAAACTGATGAAATCCCAGCAACGGATGAAAAAAACGGATGAGAAACACAGTAGCAATACTAAGGAAAAGGCAGGAAGTAACAAAAAGCTTGCCAAAGAAAAAAGTCGTAGAAGAGCCCGATTTGATTCTAGTTCGTCCGAAAGCGAAACGGAAGTAGTTACACAGGAAAGTGGTGAATCAGAAATAGAAGTAGACCGTTCTGAAATTTGTGCAGAATGCTGTGGATATTATTTCGACAAAAAGGGTCCCAAATGCGATTGGATACAATGCACGAGGTGTTCAGACTGGATCCATGAGATCTGCACAAGATCTGACTTATACTGCAAGGATTGTATCCCACTTCAACAGCTGGCAAACGATATGAAATGGAAAAATTGAATGTTTGTTTTTCATTCTAGTTCAAGTTTCTTTTTATTTCTTATTTGACATATTTGAACTTATTTTAGATTAACTTTGGATTATGATTAGGTTTACTTATATTTTGATATGTTAAACAACATTTCTTAAAAAATATGTTTGTTTATGTTTTTTGTCATAAATTAAATGAATCCTTATGCAAATCGCATGTTGCCATATTTCCCAATGTCCTATGCCATATTACCCTGATGCTGGGGGAATATGGCAATTTGTCATTATTCGAGTATTTTGTTTCCTATTGAAACTACGGTCAAACCAGCACAAAAACTGACTTAGTTAACCATACCTCATACTTTAAGGACCGTCTAGCCAGTTCGATTGCAAGGCTGAATGGAGACATTACAGATTTATGGTCCAATAAAAAACAAGTTGCCATAATACCCCATTCTACTCTATGTATATCTTTTAAACAGAATCTCATGCAGCAGTTTTGTGATACTTGAATGTTGTGCTTCGTTTCTTCCGTCAGAAAATTATAATATACTGCAGCGCCATAGCCTAGGTGAGTGAGGATTAGTGCATTGGTAAGCCTTAATTTTATATCGCTGGTTAAAACATGTTTGTATCCCCAAAGTGGCTTGTATTTACAATAGCATACTCGAGGTTTATTAATAACATGGTTCTCAAAACTTAAATTTGTGTCCAACAAAATGCCTAAATTCTTAGTCTCCTCTACAGTTTCAACATAATCGCCTAAAACAATGGCTGTACTCATCAATCTTTTAAATTTTTAAATATTTAACCTAGAACCAATGCAGCAAGCTTTAGTTTTTGTGGGATTCAGTTTCAAACAATATTTTTTGGAATAGTTTGCAATCATTTCTAGATTTACATTTAACTCTTTAATCAATAAATTAACTTCATTCGGCTTGCAAGCTTTATACATTTGTACATCATCAGCATATAGATGTATATTCCAATCATGTGATATAAAATTTAATGAATCAGATGTATAGAATGTAAATAGTAATGGACCTAATACACTTTCTTGCGGAACACCAGAAATTACATTCTGTAAAGTGGACATTTTGTTAAATATCTTTGTGCATTGGGATCTGCCAGTCAGGTAGTTGTTGAACCACAGTAAGGCATTACTAGACAAACCATAATATTGTAGCTTTTTATGTAACACTTCATGGTTGACCATGTCAAATGCCTTACTGTAATCTAACATCACCAATACGGTCACCATACCATCATCCATGAACTTGACTACATCGCTAGTTACTTTTATAAGCGCTGTGGATGTGTTGTGTACTTTTCATCATCAAAAAACCATAACCATAATATTGTTGAGCATAACATGTTAAAATGTTGCCATCTAGTTCAGATGATCACGAGAGCAAGTTCGAGTTGTTCAATATAACTGTGCAATGGACCTGAAACACAATGCCAGCTTGCGATCTGACAAAAATGCTAACAAACTTCCAAGCTCGCCATCTCTCTTAGTGTATCTTCCGCGAAGTTTCCGTTTTCTCCAAGTCACCAGACGTTATTGGAAGTGCAACCGCGACGCGCTGGGATTTCCTCGCCTGAAGTTTAGAGGGATAACATCTCCGACTGCTCTTGGACAATTCCAACAATGTAGTATTTATACAAATTGCATCTGAACAGTTGCCGGAAGTTGGCCGCTAGACGATAATGGATGTCAGGTCAACGGACACCGCCATACTGTTCCTTAACTATGGATAAGAGAGTCGGAGAGCTGCCAACGTTAACAAAAGTAGATTCGGTAATCGTAATAGCTATGCAGCTTGCAGACGATGTCGACACCTCGGTCATTCCTTCCTTCCACTCCATTGTCGAGCAAGTATTGCAATCGTGACAAATGTCTAGTTAGAGATGTTTTTGGATGTTAATCCAGATATGCCTCAAATAAATTATAATAAAGTATGTTCTCTGCAAATTCATTCTATATGAAGCATATATTAGACATATTTATTATTTTTTATCTTTTGTTTTAGGAAAAAGTGTAAAAAAATGCCGTACAAAATATGGTACACTAGGCACATAGGCAAACGTTAAGGTTTAGTATTACAGGACAAAAAACATTTTACATTCATCCCTACATTGCACCTAGAGCACCTTGTTTTTGCTCTACCATGACATAAGCCACATCTACTTTTTTCTTGTGGTATCACAAAATGATCTAAACGATCATAACGAATATCTATATATTCATTAGCCGAAGGACGTCCTCTAGAAAAAGATGGCGGTTTCTTGTTTTGTTGTAACAAGGCTGTGGCAAGCCGCCGTCTAAATAATAATTGATCCATATGTCCTCCGTGCGATCTATAAAGTTATCAGGAATTATGAACAGCGATATCAATACAGTGGCTGATCAATGGAAAATACCACTTTTTACCCCGGATGGAAATGCGATACAGGCCAATATTTTGATCACAACGATCAACGCCGCCCATATTTGCGTTGTATATGTTAGCGGACAAACCCGATTTTAGGATAAACTAGTTCATCCTAGCCTAAACTGGTTTTTCCTGAAATAAGTTAATTATGATTAGGAAAAACTGATTTGTCCTAGTCTAAACTATGTCGACCCGCGATTTAACTAGTCTGAACTCGTCTGAACCTTGGTTTGGCTCGCCGGCGCCGATCGCAAGGATTTAGTTTGCACGCGTACGTTGACTGTTATGGAGCGCTCGTCTTATTGCAAAATCGTTGCGTATTGTGCGTGTTGTCCATAAGCTAAACATTTTGAAACATTTCGTGATTGTTTACGTATCTAAAGTTCGCAGAGTATTTCTGTATCTCCTTAACATGGATGAGGCTTCATCAAGTGGGCACGTAGGTCAAAAAGAGTGGAGGCAGAGATTCTTGGTAGAGGTTTTAAGATCTGAGGACGAAAAATCAACTCATTTTAATGTTTTGACAAAGGAAAAGTATTTGGCACTTATCCAACAAGTGGAAGAGGCTAAAAAAACAGAAAATAAATCACCCTTGCAACAAAGAAGACTGAAAAGATTTGATGTGGTGGAAATCGGAGGTGTAAAGAAACTTACCGCACGAAATGAAGGAAATACAAATAATATAAAGTATTATCTCACCGCTGATGAGTTATATGACGTTATTGATGCAGCTCACATAGCAGTGGGACATGGTGGTCGTTACAGAATGTTGACTGAAACTTCTAAAAAGTCTGCGAATATCACAAAAGCAATGATATGTCTTTTTTTACCTATGTGCATGGTCTGTCAACAAAAAAAGACGAAAAAAAAGAAAGGATTAGTCTCCAAACCGATTTTGCACACCGAAATGAATAGCCGATGCCAAGTCGATCTTATTGACTTCCAGACACAACCAGATGGAAAGTTTAAATTCATATTGGTGTATCAGGACCACCTAAAAAAATTTGTCCTACCATTTAAATGATATATTTTTAACATTCGGGGCCCCATGCATTCTACAATCTGACAATGGCCGAGAATTTGTGAATCGTGTAATTTTAGAAGTGACAAGCTTATGGCCAGAGCTCAAAATCGTGCATGGAAAACCACGACATAGTCAAAGTCAGGGATCAGCCGAAAGAGCAAACCAAGATATTGAAAACATGCTGAGTGCTTGGATGAATGACAGCGAGACAACTAAATGGTCAGAAGGACTAAGGTACATACAGTTTATGAAAAATCGGGCATTTCATTCTAGAATTAAACAATCGCCTTATAAGGCCATGTTTGGTGCGGAACCCAAGGTTGGCCTCTCTACTAGTTCATTACCTTCGGAACTGCTAAAGGACATTGAAGACGAAGACGATCTTCAAAAACTGATTGATGGGAAAAACATAGATGGACATGAAAATGAAGGCAGTTATGGATACGAAGATACGGATGGAGACGAAGATAAGAATGGAGACGAAGATAAGAATGGAGACGAAGATAGGAATGAAGACGATGACATGGATGAAACCTCACAAAATATTTTAGAAGCACGATCAAAGGCTGCTCAGAGCCTTGAAAAACAAGCCAAAAAGATGAAAGCAACCTCTCACAAGGTGCATCCACCAGCGAAAGTTGGAGATAACATCATCATACCTACTCCTGATGTAGACAGGGCTAAAGGAGATCTTCGTCACGTTATTGGAGTTGTGCTTGAAGCATCTGATGACGGATTTTATAAGATTGGGACCAAGCATGGTAATTATATTGCAGATAATTATTCATTTTGCTACGGTTTTTATTTGGTTTAAATTGAATATTTTCATTTCAGAAATGAATTTGATATCTGCACACAAAAGTTTTTATTGGAAGAAGAAGTAAACAAGAACAATGAAATTTCGTTAAGAACCGCACCGATAATACATTCAGTTGGAACAGGCCAAGGTTTCTTTAAATGTAGTTGCACCAAGAAGTGTATGTCGAATCGATGTCTTTGCAAGAAAAATAACGTTCTCTGCAACTCGAAATGCCATAATAGTTTGACATGTAATAACAAGTAAATAATAAAAATTACTAAACATGTTTGTAATATGTAATGGTGTTTTCTTTAATTACTGGCAAAAACGGTAATTTTGTCAAAAGACTGTATGTAGACTAGGACAAATCAGTTTTTCTTAATCATAATTAACTTATTTCAGGAAAAACCAGTTTAGGCTAGGATAAACTGGTTTGGCCTAGGAAAAACTAGTTTATCCTAAAATCGGGTTTGTCCGGTAACATATACATTTACAAGATGAGGCTGTTCTATCTAAAATCAAAAGCATTTTTGAAAACATTGATTTTCTTGCAGATTGTGTTTCTTACTTGAATACTTTTTTATCCTTTTGAGAGTATCGCTTTACAAAGCGAATTGGTAGCAATCCTGCGGCATTTGAACAGCGTGTTACTAAATTATTGTCATGCCATTTTACTGCAATTATGTTTGTATCGGAAATTTTGTTGTAATCGTCACTACCTCTTTTTTCCCGTTTCATAATTTTAGAATCTCTAAATTGGACGCCTTGCAAACGACTTTCTCTAGCAGTACCAGTCGCAAAGAAATTTTTGTCTGTCAATTTTACCATAAGAGGGAGAGAAGTGAAAAAATTGTCGAGAACTAAATGAAATTTTTCATTTGGCCATTTTCTCCTCAGTGCATCAGAATACTCTAATACCACACCAGCACCAACCCCCAAATCTGCATAGTTCTTACTAATGTTGGTTGACGACCCTTGGTAAGGATCAACCCAGTAAACGTAGCCTAGTCTTGATGCGCTAACCCATAGTTTATAGCTGTATTGTTTAGGTTTTCCGTGAATGAACTGTTTGCATGTCTCCCAAAATAGGGAACCATTGCCTCATCTACACTATGCATTTCTGTCAAAATTCCATGTTCCATAAATGTTTGGTTCAGGCTCGCAAATAAAGGTCTAACTTTTGCAAACTTATCTCCTTGCTGTAAATTGTAGTTATCTACTAAATGGAAATTTGACATAATATACGTATACTCAAATTTATCTCGTGTAAGCTCTTCTGTTCTCTTCTCTTATTAGCATCTCTTTCACGTTCCTAGAACATTCTTCTACGTGGTTCATCGACATGGTTGAAACTTAGTATTCGATAGGGTTCCCTTCACACAGAAGATGGTCTGAATCCACTGGACGAATTTATGCTGATACGTTTTCTGGATCATCGTCAGCTATTCAGGAGCTGATATTGACCTTATTGGATGCATGCAGACCAGTTCAATAATTCTACCAACAAAAACTTCCCACTCCATTGCAACGCCACAGCAGACTGTTAACTACTACTGTTCTCCGTGAATATTATAAAAAATGATGTTCTAGTTCTGTACATTCCTATACGCTTCGCCTAACAGACCAAGTGATATATGATAGCGGATACATAATGGCATTCCATCTAGACAGACTAGTAGCACCACATAAAATTGCATAGGTGTACGGGTCGAAATCAAAAAGCATCTCATAAATCAAAGTCACCTGTCTCCATGCATCATCCGTTCTAATCAAACATTCTTAATTGTTTTTCCATTCAAATGCCTCCACCGAGCGGCTGGTGCTGCTAGCGCTACGATGCTGGCTTCAGGGTCGTAGTTGGAGTACGTGGGTGAGAGTAGTGATTATAGATATTCCAACTCTTCCATTGTTTATCCTGCTCTTACTATTCGTCATTTGTTTGTCTGGGCGGTCCGTAGGACCTTTGCCCATTAGTCACTGTCTAATGTACTAAGTTTAATCTGTCTGTACTGGTTGCTCAGAAACCAGACGATGTCAAGGAACAAGAGAAAGGGAAAGAGAAGAAAAATGAAGAAGAGCAAAGAAAATCAGAAGTGCTTAGTTCACGAGGAGGCACCTGGACTTTTTGACTTGGTACACGGATTAATTTTGAGGCGAACTAAACAAATTTTGATTCGGTTTTGTTAGAGTGTAATTTTAATTTTACTAAAAGTTCGCGTTAATTCTTGATTACAGTGCGAGCCGTGGCCTTGAATGTCTACGAACTTGCTTCACTGTGTAGTCCACTGAGTCGCGCAACAGAGGTTTGCTGTGCGATTCCGCTTGACTATAACGTCGAAGTTTGATATAATCCCTCAAGTAAGGGATATCAAGATCTCTGCGTAGTGTCTTGTTTGAGACATGCTATGGAGCGTTGCAAATTGTTCGCAAAGTTCTACTTTGCAGTACCTTAAGACATTGCATATGTGTCTTGACAAAAAAACACCAAGCCGCACATGCGTAAGTAATGGCTGGTCTAATAATCATTTTATATAGGCGAACTTTGTTTATCAAACTCAATTTGGAGGATCTACATAACAAAGGACACAATTGCCGAAATGCAATTTGGAATTTTGTTTTCAAGGCTACTGTATGTTTCTGCCAGGTCATACCTTTCTCAAGGGTGACACCGAGGTAATTGGCAGAATTTGTCCATGGTACACCACTGCCGCCTACAGAAACCTCTGTTGGGGGGTCGCGACGTTTTTTGGTACAATAAATAGCCTGCGTTCTCGAATGATTAGTTTTAATCAGCTACCGTTCCGCCCACTCCAGTACTTCTTCCACCACACTCTGCAATCCGTCGTGAACCAGAGCACCAGTACGAGCCCCTTCCCACTTCAGCCTTTATAAACTAAACATGACGAAACTATTTACTTCTAAAACAATTTATTTTCTCAAAAACATTTTAGATACACTCTAGTCGTAAAAAATGCATATCACTTAGACCTATAACTAATAGAACATCTGAACAAATAAACAATGTGCGAATAAATGCGCGAAGTTAACAAAGCAACAATTGAAAGATTACCATTGGGTAATATCAACTTTATTTTTTATTACGGCTGAAATTCTTTGGGGCATAGTGTTAACCAAGTTTTGGCAAAAATTTGGTGTAAAACAATCCCATATTTCTTGAATCTTTTGTCTCAGTTCGGTGATTGTACGATCAGGATGTTGTCGTAGAATCTTTTTCATCTCGTACCACAAAGTTTCAATAGGTGACAGATCTGGACTGCTAGAAACCCATTTCAAAAGTGGTACATTATTTTCTTCCGTCCATTTTGTAGCCTTTTTTGAGGTATGGCACGCTGCACCATCTTGCTGAAACACAAAATATTGCCAAATATTTGTTCGTATCCACACTTGCTTGAACAAAATGGAGTTTTCCTACTCCTTTTGATGACATACTGCCCCGGACCATAATGGATGCTGGAAATTTCACTTTTGTCTTCAGACAGTCAACATGGAATGCTTCATTTTTTTTGCGAATAACTCTACTGCGACTGTCACCAACACACACTTCGAATCGGGCCTCACCACTCCATTGTATTGCACACCATTGTTGAGGTGTCCATTGTCTATGTTCTTTAGCCCATCTATGTCGATTTTTCTTTTGCAGTGCGAGTTAATAGTGGCTTTTCTTTGGCCTATAAACAAAGTTGTGCAACTTTAGGGTTTTACTTCAATTTTTTTATAAGAAAACTTACCTTGCAAGTGCTAAGTCCCAGTTTGTGGGCCTCTCTATGAGTTGTGGACCTCTACATTCTCCTTCCAGCAGAGCACTTAATTGTAAATAATTGGCACGCCTGTTTTTCACGATTATTCTTCTTACTGCTCCTCGGTGGGCATTTGTGATATTACTTTTTTTCACATATCGTGGCTTAATATTAACTGAACCAGTTACGTTATATATTCTAACAATATTCCTCACACTGTACCGCGATAAGTCTAACAAAGTTGCAAGTTCTGAGTTTGATATCCCAGAATTAAAAAATTTAATTATCAGTAACCGAGTTTTCTCACTAATAACCTTTCCTCTACCCATTTTGAAAACCTTAACTACCCAAAACTATTTTAAACGTATTCTGGCAGCTGTGATTAATAAAAACAATTGTTATGGCTTTTATTTTTCACAGCCAGCGTTATAGACTTATTTTGCATTGAAATGAAAATAGGCTGATATGCTGTAATTGCAGCATGTGTTATTTTTATGCTGCAAATTTAATTAAGGAGTGATAAAGTTGATGTTTTCTACTATATAATTATTATCAAAACACTCATTGTTAATATTTTAAACCTATGTTTTTATTATTTGTGTTTGATAAGAAAAAAAGTAAGATTTCGATAGTTGGGCCAACTGAAGTGAGAAGGGGCTCGTATTTCATTTGAGTTGCATTCACGCTTGAATGAAATAAACTGATTCGACTGCTTGTAGTTACTAACTTTCCTGTGACTATTGTCAAGAAGATTAATCTATGATTTCACATATCGTCAGCTCATAAATAGAACAACCATTAAAACTGTAGTGCTTTACACAAATATTCTAGAGGATTATGATTGTCTAGTACCTGAAGAACTTTTGCGTTCTTCATTCCAGGCTGCTACTTTTCTTCATCAATAGTGTGAGAGGTATCCAAATCACGAGCCAACAACGTTGGAACTTTTGGATAGGTAATTGCCATGTTTGAAGATAAAATTTTCATTCTAGATCATGATTATATTATGCAGCGATAGCTATGATGATTTTAATAACCAATGATATTTTTTCTGTCATCTACTTTTTGATGTGGTACTTTCAGCAGAATCTGGATGCCTGAGCAAAAAACACCTTATCTTTGAAAAAGCTTTACTCCCGCAACACTATGCTTCCAAATTTAAGATAAAACGCATCTTAAAAAAACGAACATTTTCTGTACATGCTTAAACGGAGAAAAAGTTCCAGAAGAATGTAGACAACCTTATATTTCTCCAATACACAAGAAAGGCACAGACAGATCCTAAAAACTAGAAGGATCGTAGGCCGGGTATACCTGAAAATATATGTACTACGGAATCTGATAGAAACTGCCATCAAAGACAAACAGCCCGAAGAGCAAGCAGGATTTGGGGCTGGACG